TGTTATTATCTATAGAGGAGGATTTTCGATGGAAGCACGCTCAAGACTGACATTAGCCAGAATGAGAACCGCTATGAGAGATGAAAGATTGAGATTTCTTCCACCAATACCAAATACTCTTTTTGAGTTGGCCACTTACTTAAATGACCCACAATTTCTCAATGTTACCACTACCATTGACAATACTGATAATATATTTGCAGGAGCATGTGGAGACTTTGGAGCGGGCACTTTCTCAGTTGTGTTTATGTCTCAGCGACAGTCCAGTCATATGCTAACTGCAACAGTGGTATGATTACTTCTTCCTTTTTACCTCGTCATTAGTATTCTCAGCATGTTTGTTGAAAATATTATTTTCTCTCCTAGATATTTGCTGATGGAACCTTTAAAAAAAGGCCTAAGAAGCCACATTGTGGTCAAATGTTTGTGATATCTTGTGTGTGGTACAACCAACAAACTACTCACAAGCATGTAGGTATTAAATGTGCTTTCATAATGCCCCAATAAACATGAAAAATTATTTTTAGTCATTTGACAGCCAGTCAAAACTTTGTCACAATGGACTTTTACAGTCAACAGCTGTCAAATGAGTAAAAGTGAGTTTGTCTTGTTAATGAGAAGGGGTCAGGCGAGGTAAAATTGGGAGGAAAACGTTCTCTTAACTAGAGCAATGCATCACAACTATTTACTTCACCCTTAGATTGTCACTTGTGCCCGTGTTCTCATGCAGCGCCGTACCACTGAGGCATACATTGCGCTTCTACTTTACCTACGGACAATTGTGCCCGGTTGGAATCCCCAGACAATAATGACCGACCATGAGCTACCACAAATACACGCTTGGATGTATGTGTTCCCTAATGCAAACTTGACTTCTTGTCTATTCCATTTTGAAGTAGTGAGTTTTACTACCAGTATCTCAACTTTGCATTGCTGCTGATAGGAGATGTGATTGTTGATAATATTTTTCTGTCAGGATGTATTTCGAAAGGCTAAGAACTTGGGACTGGAGTTGCACATGAGGCTGTCATGGGCAGTAAACACTACAATCAGGAGCTGTGCAGTGCTACCATTGCTTCCAGCTAACCACATCATCTATGGTCTTCATGCCATTGGTCATTGGGCAAGAATGATGGGAGCAATGCAAAATCCTATTGTACGTGATTTCTTCAGTTACTTGAGCAGGCAATGGACTCCGGCAGTTCAGTATTTGTCCGTCTATGGAGTGGAAGACAGGACTAATAATGTATCGGAAAGTGTCCATGCTACTTTGGCTGTAGAAGTGAGAGAAAATGGTCCCAATGTTTGGTCCCTTATTGGTTGGTATACAATTATTTAGAATGCTTTTTAAAAAAAACTGTTAATGTGAAGATAAAACAGCCATGTTAATGGCTTTACACATTAAGAACATTTTTTTTTCAGGTGCATTCAAACGTCTTGAGGATCAAACTATGGTGGACTTACATGGTCTTCAACGAGGTCGTAATGTCAACAGACCCCAACAACTGAAGTCCCTTTTAAATGATGCCAGAATTAGAAATCTTACTGAAAGTTACATCCGAAACAACATAAACGTTGTTACATTTCTTATAGAAGCATCACAGTGTATGGAAGGTGCTTACAATTTTGTATTCAACTAAAGGTTCTTCAAGCCGTCTGTTCCACGCTTTCAGAAACTCATTTCTATATGTTCTTTTAAAGTAAGAACTAGCAGTCCATTGACTTCGGAGCATGTCAAATCTACAGATTTAAATGATAAAGAACCACTTGGGTTCAGAATAAAGAAGGGTCAACTATCATTAAGTATTATTTATTTCTCACACATCACATAAGAAACATGACAATATCACACGTACATATGCTATATGCAAAGACAAATTAAATACCTTAAGAAATATTTAAAGGCAATTCTATACTTGAAATGGGCGAAGAAACACAGTATTACATTACAGGGAATTAACTTATAGTAGCTTTTAGTCAGATTTTATTCAGGTAAAAGATTTGCCTTGCTTCAGTGACTTGTACCTTGCACACAGGGCAGAAAATGCTCCCTTCAGGTGGCTCAGCTAATTGTCTTAAACACTCATCACAAAATGGATAATGCTTGCAGGAGAACAAGAACATTGTACCTTTCTCTTCGCAACACACACTACAAGAGTCTCGCACAACTGTGTAGGAAGCGAGAGGTTGAGGTTTCTTCAGAGTGTCACCGGGCATAGCCGCCCATGGAGCTGGTTGTGAGAAAACCTGCTGCTGTTGAAGGTGACGCTGGACTTGAGGTTCACTTAGAATGCTTGCTTCTGCAGCAGCAGCAGCAGCCGCTGCCACAGGGCCCGCCTGTCCTGGCTCCATTGGTGGTTGTGGACCTGCAAAAAATACAAAACATTACAACTAGACAGAGGATTCTGATGATGCACAATAAATACAATTGGCACAAAGATAACGGAAAATTGTAGATAAAGAGGAGTCAGTGCGAGTCAAGAGCAGCAACCTTATAAGGCGTGTTCCAATTCGCCGACGCTTGATAGCAAATTACCAGAATTAGTTCACATATTTTTCGAACATGTAAATTAGAAAATGTCGACACGCTTATGAAAGTGTAAGCTAGGTTAAGCTCAGTAAGAAACGAATCCGAAATAACTTAAAATGAAACCCCCCAAGCATATTGTTAACGGCTAAAGAAAAAGAGAAAGAAAAAAAGTTCTCATGACCCACCAACGTGCATCAGGCACTTCGTCAATATTGAATACCATCACAAAATAACACTAACGGAGCTTCGGACGACGAACAACTCCTCTTGATAAAGTTACAAACCCAGTGGATTTAGGAGGATAAAACAAGCCCATAAACAAGTCCAATGTCTAACGGATCTCACCAGAATTATTTCTTGGAAACATTTACACGATGACAAGAATTAAATCAGCACAGAAATGCAGTTAATGTATGAAATGATATGATGTCGAACAGAACAAACAAACATCACTGACGGCTATCGAGGCTGTGGCCTGCATTGCGCATGCGCAAAAGTGCAGATGAGCTAGTGCCTTTTTTTGTGCTTATGTTGATTTCAGTAAATTGCGTTTCTGTTCATTTTTAGTCAAAAATCAATAAAATCGACAACATTATTTTCGGTCGCTGTTTTTGGAAACTTGGGAAATCGGTGTTTCTTTAAATGATGAGTACGCGAGTTGCGTATTTTGGTTACGTAGTGACGCCGTCTTTTGTTACTTCTTGCCTTCCCCACCCCGTTCTCCTTTTCCACTCCGCTCCTCCCCTCTGTCCTCCCCC